ACTCAGTTTCAACTGAGCGAAACACGTGTCGAGGCGTTAAAAAATCGGTTTGGTTAGTGGTAAAACAGTGTAGTGTATTATCGTGCCAAAGGTTCCAGTCTTCGATATAGATGAATATTCTGACAACGTTCAAATATACTTATTTTAGAAAATTCTCTGATAGAATGTTTTCAGAATGATCATAGTATATTTTCATCCTGCAACAAATATTCTATGAACCAAGACCTACACTAGTATGAACAGTCAATTTGACATATTCTCAGAATATTATTTACAAATATCCAGAGCATATACAGAATTGTATCGAGATATGATATTGATGTTACCCTTGTATCAATAAGATTTTCCATGATCCAACCTATTATTCTCTAGCATCAATGCTAATTATCGTACTAATGGAGTGTTGACATCCTTTACATTTTATTTATCCATAAGGTTCGTAGCGCAGTGGAATAGGTGTCATGTTTTCCTCATCCTGAAAATTAAACTAACACGAGATTTTCTTGGACATCGAGTAAGCGCATATCCTCGAAAATGTTCGGGAGTATAATAACCCGGCTGTGGCATGTATATTATGTACAGGCCGGCTGAGTGGAATAGAAGACGATTCTGGGCGTGGCTTGCGTATATGGGCAGGTAGAGCGTTGAGTCCGATGCGACTAAAATTTTGAGAGGGGTTTTTGTTTTTTAATGTCCCTCCTTTCCCTGTAAAATTCCCCAACAATGCCAATGTTTGTATTCACCGCTAACCCAACTAGGTCACCTGTTTCAAATAATACATATTTCATTTCTTCTGTTTCGTTGGAAAATTTGTCTATTTATTGTGAAGAGAGAGTAGGTTCGCATCGCTACCGGAGCAATTTTTTTTTTTCAATTTCCTCCTTTTTTTTACATATAATATACCAGGAATATTCTCAGAATATTCAAGACAGCCCATCCCGAATGTTCATAGAACGTCCCTAGAATATTATTGTGAAATTATCCTGAGAATATTCAAAATTTTCGGAGAATATCCTATTAACGTTCCATGAATCACATTGTGCCATTGTGACGTTGAAATGCGTTTTTCTCGAAACGTACTTTTTGTGACATTCTCCCTTTTCCCCTATGGTCTTCAATTTTGATTACCAACAAACATTCTCTGTCTAGATAGAGAAATTGTTGTCTATTGGGTATCATAGAAAAGCCACTATTATGATGTTTGGAGAAAAATTCCTTTTTTTCAAATCACAATTTGAAAATTATGTTAAGTCTATAAAAATCTAGATGAGAATACCTTCAAATAAAGATATCATTCGATCCCTTTTTTCCTCGCTTTTTTCATTCAAAATTTGAGGGGTGTCTCACCTCCGCTAGAGTGTTTCTGTTCAAAGGCGTGAAACTGGCAAAAACCTATTTTCGCCTAGTATATCAAAAAGTGACGGGTGCGAGTTTTTTCGTAGTAGACCTGGTCTGCCCAAAATTAGTTCTCTTTCGTTTTCAAATGGCCACCCTGTATATTATAGGTAATCTCGTATTCATGAATCAATATATTGAAAACATATAAATACTATCTTAAAAAGAGATTATTGATAAGGACAATCATTATATTTATCTGATTTCATAATATAATGAATATACCGGATTATTATCCATATATTATATAATATACTCATGATATTGTTTTCATTTATTACATCGATGCATGAAAGCTGAAATTTCGGCAAAATTGCCATATTGAAAATTGAGATGATGATTGTTTGATGATGTTGATTGATGAAGTTGACATTGATGGCCCCAATATATTGTTAGCCCTGAAGCAATACATAAAATAATGCTGTCATTTGGTTCTGATCATCATTACGTATTTTATAGTATTCCATTATCATCATAAGAAGAGATTAAAACTTATTATTATGTGACTATATCATGGTATATGGAGAAGAAAACCATAATAATTTCATAATCATCGTCATCCGCTGTTCTGTCCATCACTAATGAATTCGTTATTAGTACCTATATAATTTCATCAAGCCAGTCCCTCCAGTTCGTTCTGATATAATATACGCAGGGCTTGTGCCTTATATAGATATATATAATGAAAAAAATGTGTAGACAAATATGCAGTTCGAATATACAACAATCTGTGAGTAATCAGTATCAACTGTTGAAAATATTTATCACCTCTAGACCTGATAGAAATCTCAATAATTCCAGATGATGCCGGTATCAAGGCTGCTTTCCCATGTCCAGAGAAATCATTATACAGGGTGAGTCATGAGGGACTGTACATACTCCTACCACGACTAGAGACCCTTGAGGGGAATATCTAATGTCAGAAAATCAGAAAGTGTCTTTTACCCTCTTTACCAATGAATATGGTAAATTATGAGATTAGGCAAAAACATCTTTTGGGCATAACTTTTCAACAGCTGCTTCGATTCGTCTAATTTTTTCATGAAATATTCCTCAACTGAATCCTAATCGACTGACATTTTTAAAATCAGAAGAATCTAGGAACGTTTCTGAAAAATTTTGATAGTTTAGTTTACATCAAAAAGTTCATCCGGAATATGGTTTTTGTAAACTGTGACAGGGAATTTTCAAAGCACAAAAACAAGCATCAATAATGAAATATTCAAAATTCTCCTCACACTTCCACAGACATTTTTAAAAAACGATAAATTATAAGCAAAAACGAAAGTTTGACAACAAATTTATTCTTTCGAAAATAATTACTTCGCAACGCATAAATTTCACAAATGAAAGTAAGACTCACATTTTCGGTGCTTTAGCCCAATGGGAATCAACATGTTCTTTCATTTCCAGGACTGAATTTCGTCATTTAATTTTTTGTGGAGGGTAATAATCACCCTGTAGATCTTTTTCATATTAGGGGATGGGGTATCTGTTTAGATGTTGATGGTCATCAATTCAAATAATTCATGATAGTCGGAAAAGAAAATGAAGGATTATTCAAAATTATTTTTCAAAATCTATTCTGACAAAGGCGGATAATAATTCTAGCACGGAAAATTAGTGACCAAATTAATTGAATAAAACGAATAGAATAGATGAAACTGTGAATTGAAATCATAAAATCATTTATAGCGATTGCCATCAACCTTTTCTCAGATACCCCATCCACTGATTCGAAAAAGATCTACTGGATGATTATTATTTATTCTCCACTGTTAAAATAACTTATCACTATTTCCAGGTCTGAAATTAAATTGATATTTTGATTTCCATTGAGCTGAAGCATTGAAAATGTAAGTCTCACTTTTATCCTTCGTATGAGAAGTATTAATTTCCAAATAAATACAAATGTTGCCAACTTTTCGTATGAAATTCAAGTTCTTTTTTCAAACTACAGTGAAAGTGTGAGACAAATTTGGGATATTTTATTTTCGATGTCTGTTTGAGACCTTTGAAAATTCTCTGTCACAGTTTACAAAAAAGATATACAGGATGAACTTTTTGCTATAAACTAAACTCGAAACTAAACTATCAAAATTTTTCAAGAACGGTCCTGGATTCCCCGTATTCTGGATGAGTCAGTCGATCAGAGGTTATAGTAGCGGATTATTCCATGAAAAAATCAGACGAATCGAAGAAGCTGCTGGAAAGTTATGACCAAAAGATATATTTGCCAAATCCCTATACAGTGTGTCCCACTTACCATGATTCCCATGGGTATCTTTTTAACGGTGGGAGATACGAGGTCGGTTAAATGACACCAAATGTGGAGTTTGTCAAGGCCAACTTTAATGTAAAAAAATATGTTGATATGATCTATTCGTTTTTGTTTTATACGCAAAAAACAGATTTTGATCATTTTCATGTCTCCCCCGTAACTTATTTATTTATAAAAAGATTCGAATAGGAATTTCACATTCTCATGGCAGTTTTTCAAAGTGATTTCGAAAAAAATATGAAATTTATACCAACTCTTCTAGAATTTGATATATCAGCACCAACTTCAGTTTTTCAAATGTAGGTCATAGCTCACTATGACTTAGTTACAAATAACTTTTATTTCTCTTACAGATGATATGTCGCAGTAATAGTTTTGTGTTGATAACAATAACGGAGTTATTTTCATTTATACAAAACCAAAAAATTATTTGGAAGCCGCCATCTTGAATTTATAAATTTTAACAAAAAAATCATGATCTCCGACCTCAAAAATCGCACCAAATCTGGTCCGCCATCTTGGAGCAGCCATTTTTTTAAATTTCAACAAAAATTCCATAACTCCGTTTAACTTGAAATTTGGCAGGTTTTCATAATTTCGGTGACAATACATTATGGAATTTTTGTTAAAATTAAAAAAAATGGCTGCTCCAAGAAGGCAGACAAGATTTGGTCCGATTCCATTCAAAATTGGTAGGTGGGGGTTTTTGAGGTCGGAGGTCATGATTTTTTTGTTAAAATTTATAAATTCAACATGGCGGCTTCCAAATAATTGTTTGTTTTTGTATAAATGACGACAACTCCGTTGTTATCAACACGAAACTATTACTGCGACATATCATCTGTAAGAGAAAAAAAAGTTATTTGTAACTAAGTCATAGTGAGCTATGACCTACATTTGAAAAACTGAAGTTGGTGATAATATGTAAAATTCTAGAAGAGTTGGTATAAATTTGATATTTTTTTCGAAATCACTTTGAAAAACTGCCATGAGAATGTGAAATACCTATTTGAATATTTTCATAAATAAAGAAGTTACGGAGGAGACATTAAAATGATCAAAATCTATTTTTTGCGTATAAAACAAAAACGAATAGATTTTATCGAAATATTTTTTCGTTAAAAAGATACCCATGGTGAGCATGGTAAGTGGGACACACTGTATATTGGAAAATAAGTGAAGAAGACACTTTCTGATGGACATTAGGTATTCCCCTCAGAAGCCTCAATTCGTTATAAGAGTATGTACCTACAGTTCCTCATGACCGACCCTGTATAGAAGCTCATCATATTGATTGATGAGATACAAAACGTTGAAGTTTTGTTCATGTTGGATTTGAGTGTCCGCCATTTAGAAACGATCAACTGGACATTCTGGTGAAATTTAAATGTTTTTTCTATTGTTACAGGGCTCAGCTGATTCTAATTACTCCCAACCTTCGTCAGATCTATCACTTGACGAGGAGAAAGAGACATTACGAAGAGAGAAGGAGAGGCAAGCACTTAGTCAACTCGAAAAAGCAAGGGTATGTACAGTCTCTGTAACAAAATATTATCGACATTAATCAATTGAGTTTCAATAACATTGTTTTATTAGGATCAAATGTGCCGAGCACGCAAATTTTGCGAGTCAAACAAAGTCACTTTTGATCCGAATGAATTATGCTATATTTTCTGCAATCAAAATAACTGATATCTAATTAATAAAATATAAGTGAAAATACCACTATTTTGAATCACTTGAGCTTGTCTCCCAATCAGCACAAGACATCTTAAAGACGTACATTTTACGACTTACTTACGTCTTTACGTCCAGGGACGTACAAAGTACGTCTTTAAGATGTAAATCCATGTACATCTTAAAGACGTACACGAATTTACGTGTTTAAGACGTACATTTTAGGTCGTATCCACGTCGTTCCTCCCATGTCGTATAAAAGACGTCTTAAAGACGTACATTCCAGTACGTAAGTTATTTTCTGAAGAAAAACAAAATGTCATCTCTTCACGTTTTTTATTTTCAATTGTTCAGTTTTTTCTTATTTTTAACAAAAGTGATGTTTTTGAATTTTTTCGTCCGACATTTTGGAGCCTTCGTGTTAGATTCTCGAATTTTTACAAAAAAAATCATATTCTCCGACCCCAAAAGTCCCATAGTAATCAATTTTGAATAAAATCGGACTATAATCACAAAACTCGTCCGCCATTTTGAAGCCGACATCTTGGATTTTTCATTTTCGACAAAAGGAATTATAATCTCTGATCCCGAAATCCTTCAGATGCCAATTTTGAATCAGATCAGACCATAATCAGAAAACAATATGCCACATTGGACTCACCATCTTGAATATTGAATTTTGATTCGAATCGGAACATAATCAATGAGAAAATCGTCCGCCATATTGGATCCGCCATTCTGTTTTTTCCATTCAATAATAATATCACAACGAATTGTCACCGGAATAATATTTACTTGCCAAATTTCAAATCAATCGGACGATTGCACGTTTTGATTACAAACAGACACAAGGACATGTTAAACTAAGTAAAAGCTTGTTATGTGATATATAGAACAAACAGAGTAACAGAAGAAGTGAGTATGGTATAATCATCGAAGTCAAGTAACAAAGAGCGCGGTTAGTACTTGAATGGGTGACCGCTTGTGTCTACCGTTTGATGAAGTCGTTTATTTCCCTTTTTTTTTGCTTGTCTGCACTTGTTGCTAACTTCAGTGCACAGGTGAAAATTAACTGAAACTATGTGATTTTTCCGTAATTTGAAAGATCAATTTGAGGTCATGGACCAAAAACACCTAAAAAAGACGTCTTAAAGACGTCTCTTGGGCGTAATATGTACGTCTTTAAGACGTACTTGTGTCCCGACATGTACGTCTTAAAGACGCCTTTAAGACGTACTTTGGCTGATTGGGCTGTGTCAAAGCAGCTATCATATCAATTGTCATCCGAAACTTTTTTAGTTCCTAGGACTTGAACTTTAACTTGAGCTCTGAGACACTGAAAGTATTGCCTAGCAACATACATACTAATTATTTTATTGAGTCAATATGAAAAACGTCAACTTCAAGAGCTAATTTTGGAATAAAAATGGACGACTTTTGAGCCGATTGCAGGAAATAGTTATTTATGTGCAATGGACGAAAAACTGTGTATTATAGTCGAGCCTGCGAGGCCCTGCCGAGGCTAGCATGCAGATGAGACAATAGACAGTTTTTCGCCGACATAGAATGTCGCCGAGGTGCATATTACATTTTTTCGTCGAACTCGAACACATATTCACACCACTGTATTATTCATACGTGAAATCTATCGAATTTCGTATAATTCGTATCTCGTATAATCAATTTGACAATAGCAAATGATAATAGTACGTTCATTCCCATTTTTGTAGAGGTAAACGATTAAAGTAGATATGTTTTATTATTACTTACCTTAAAATCTGTATCGACTCATTATTATAACATATAATTTTACCGTGACTTTTACGATCAATTAGCAATAAGGAATGATTAGAATCATTTTTCCCCAGAAATGAGAGAATTCAAATTTTCATTGATATCCAATCATCAATACTTTAGTTTAATTTTAGTCTGAATTGCATTGCTGATATTCACTTTTCAATTGTACCTACATTTCAACACGAGTTCTCATATGAAACATTATTTGTTTGAGAGTGTATTCATTTTCTATTATTTATTTTATATTTGGCATCATCGCCTTGTATTCAGGGGCGTCCGGAAGGGGAGGCAAGGGGGGGGCACTCGCCCCCCCCCCTAGCGCCTGGTCTTTACTCAGATACTTTCTAAACAAGATACATTTGCATCATTCAATTCCTATTCTGATTAGCGCTTATTATAGTGACATTCTGAGACTTAGTTTAATTAGTATACATCGACATCTTATAGAAAGATATAGAGTTGATTTTATCAACGAAGTAATTGATAAATTTACTCATGCCATTTTTGAAGAGGTTTATATACCATTTTTTGCACGACTCGGCGATTTTAATTGAAAAAATCTTATGATAAAATCAATTATTGTCAATATGAAAATGAAAATTTGAACACAATAATCACAAAATCGAGTTTGATTATCGTGACTACCGATAAAGAAGAGTAGCCATATTGCTTTTTGTGAACGTCGAAAAAGTGTGGTAGCATTATTTTCTTGATGGCTTTCCAAAGTTTTTTCAATAAATATTGCAGAAATGTGTGGAAAAACTATTTCCTAGAGAGTGCCTACTCTGTATAACCTGTATTCCCACTTTTGTCGGTGTAAAATCGCTTATAGGTCGTGCAAAAACTGTTTTTTGATATGTACTGAATATTGTACATCATTTATTGTGACTTGCCCCTCCCTAAGATTATTTCCTGCCACCTCGAACCCTGTAACCCTGTTGAAAAGGGATGTTTTTTTCACGTACAGCCTATCGAGAACTATTTCCTTTTACTACATTTTTACATTTGTAACAAGTATACTGACAAACAATTAACTAAATACACAAACTCGAACACAAACAACATTCCTCCAAACTATTTGCATTCCAAATATCCAGAATAATTCAACCTTGAACGTTATTCTAAACATATATAAAGTGGCAAGTGTTTAATGATCTGTGAAATGCTTTTATCCGTAATCTCAACCTTATGAAATCATTGAGTCACCACCATGTTGAGTTTTTCAATAAAGGAATCTGGATCAAAATTAGCTGGACCCGACCCACTGACCTGACTGACCTAATTCAGTCTATCACCCTTCACACAAAGAGAAGTCAATGGATAGACAATGCTTGACGAATTATGATGCCTATATTGGAGCAAGTCATATAATAAGTACATACAGGGTGTCAATTTGAAAAATTTCTATCTTTAGTATATTTCCTTCTAGTATAAATAATATAATAAACCAAAAAGACTGGTCAATTTCATTTGGGGGTCACTTTAAATGGATAGTCTTAGCCCTCATGGTTCAACTCCCGAGGAGGGGTAGATTACCCTTGAAATCCCAAATGGAAAGGGGGTTAAGTGACACAACATTTTAAAGGGCGTTCAATTCTCTTTCCAACGGTACCTCATTCTATTACTTTTGATAAACATTATCCGAAAAATACTGTTCTGAACTTGCCTACACTGAGATACATGGTTTTGAAGTTAGTATTACAACACAAATTATTTTATTGAAGGTTGGTGGAAATGGTGGAAGATTAGGTGACATCTTTTCAACTACTCATCACCAGGGGCCATATTAGCCATTTGCCCCAAAAAATATAATTAATAAGTAAATTAATAGTGATATTTCGATTATACTTTATTAGCGTTAATTATTGGACTTTTGATTCTTATCGCTGAAATTCCACAGATGGCCGAGAGGAACTCTTGCTACTTCTGCTTCGAATAGCTTCGTTTGGTTGAGCAAAAAATTGTTCAACGAATTTGAACAATTTTTGAGTAAGTAGTGTACCAACGTGCGTTCTGGCTCAAGAATTCTATCGCGTAGATGACAGTCATTGGCAGAACGCTGTTGGCTGGCAGCTGACAGGTGACAGATGGCAATTGAGAAGTGCCATATGACAAACGACAGATGACAGGTGACCTCGAACACATGTTGGCTGTCATGTGTAAACCGTCATTTATCAGATCTCGTTTGTCATATGTCACTTCGTATGTCTAAACATTTTGACTAAAAAGAGAGTCAGTAGAATATTTTTTGTTCAAGTATTAACAAAAGAACAATGTATCTCAGTGCAGGCAAGTTCTAATCACTTATGTGAGTTCAGAAAGGTATTTTTCGGAAATTGCTTCTTAAAAATAATAAAATATGGTACCGTTGGAAAGAGAATTTAACGTCCTTTGAAATGATGTGCCCCTCCCCTTTACATTCAAAATTTTCAGGGTAACATCTACCCCTCCCAAGAGCCATGAGGGCTAAATATATTCATTCAAAATTTCTCCCCTTGAAACAGGAAAAATAGCAATTATGGCAAATTTTCAAATTGACACCCTGTATTATTATGCGATGTTCGTGGTTCTACATTCAACCATTTTTTATAGTCTTGTTCATATCAAAAAATGTAGTTTGGCGGATACCCATTTTTAAAAGTATGACATCAGTTGCAGACGTTCTGAGCAATGCGCGTATCAACAGTACATATTTTTTTCATTTGTTTCTATTTTTGTGCTTACCGACAGCTACTATATTATATACTTGCTTATACCTATTTTCAGTCTCTCAGTATCTTTTGTATTTTTGTTGTTTTACATATTAAAAATTTCAACCCAATCGGTCAAGCCGTTTAGTAGTCGACATACCTACCGCAGCGTCACCTATCGCGTTCAATTGTATTTTCAAATCATCCAGAAAACCATCGAAATACCTATATAGAATTTCAACCCAATCGGTTCAGCCGTTTAGAAGTTATGTGAAAAAGATATGTACGGAAGGATAAGTACCACTACCCGTTGTCTTATTACCCGTATTTCCGTAGGAATGGAGCATATTCCTAGGTAAAAGTGGCCTATGTTCATCAGGGGTAATGTCGGCTTCTAATGGTAAAAGCATTTTTCGAATCGGTCCAGTAGTTTCGGAGCCTATCCAAAACAAACAAACCAACTAGTTTTGAATCGATCTCACCATGATTGATAAAACTGGATTGCCGTATTGAATCATCTCATGAAATCTTTGTGAACACACATTTTCTAGTTTTGACTTAGTTGACTTTGTTTTTTTCTCTTCAGACCAAGCCGGTAGCATTTGCTGTTCGAACCAACGTAGCCTACGACGGATCATTGGACGACGATTCTCCAGTACACGGTTACGCCATTTCCTTCGAGATCAGAGATTTTTTACACATCAAAGTGAGTCGCTGAAATTTTTCCCTTCCAAATGACCCACTGAACATTTTCCCAGGAGAAATACGACAACAACTGGTGGATAGGACGATTGGTCAAAGAAGGCTGCGACATCGGTTTCATTCCCTCCCCAGTCAAGCTAGAGAATCTGCGACTGCAACAGGTTGCTACCAGGACGACCAAGCTCTATTCGAGTAAAACGAGTTCGAGCTCCAACATCGGGGCAGCTGGTAACGATGTTTCCAGAGGTAGCACTCCTCCCACACCTGGTATGTCCCATCCAAATCGCTCTTTTTTCGGTTCAATTTGGTGAAGTGAACACTCTTTCGACGTTTACCTGTTTTGTTTTTGTGAGATTGCATTGCCGCGATGAAATATTATTGAGTAAGTTGTAGGATAACTCTGTATATTTCATTCATTTCTCTTGTCAAGATGATTGACAAAAGCAGAAAGAATATTTAGTCAAGAAAAAATGGAACCGACAAAATTATTCAGTGAGCTCAAAAAATATCTTCGACACTTCAGATGTGTATTAACGTAAATATGGACGTATTCCTATAATATTTTTGGAAATGGTAGGCGTAACAGTTCTCATCAAGAGAATTGGACCTGCAGCTTCGTTGAAATTGGTGTTCTTAAACAATTGAATGGTATATTGTTGGTTAAATGGTGTGTGACCCTGGCTGATGAGACCATGTCCACGAAGCCATTTAAAAAATAGATTTTGGTGTGATATTTCTGAACGCGATATCTATACATTTGTACACTAATCTTGCATGATAGTGTTTAAAACTCGCAGCCACCTTTGAATCACTACCCTTCTCCAGTGTAAATAACTTTATTCTGAGGTAACTTATGTGATTTCTTTTCCATGATGAGATTATTTTGAATTTATTTTCATACCAATCATTTTCTCCCCGTCCTTCCTTTGGATCCTTTTCCACGATAGTAGAAGTAGAAATTAGTTTAGATTGCTAGAACGCCGACTTGTAGAAAAAAATCGACTACAGTCATCAAATCTCAACATTTACTTTTGAACACTCTTTTATACCAGCTCTCATTAAGAGATTTGCTTAGTTTTCATACCATGTTATCGAAAACATCATCTTGATCTGATTTCAGTGTATTTCTTTATGAACATCTGCTCTGAAAGTCTATACCTAGGTTTAATAATTCCATATCTGTATACCAGATGATATACAACCACCAATACAATGGTTTAGTTCATCGAAATTATCGTGCTTGTAGCTGATACTTAGTTTAAAATTTCTGTATGTCAACCACAGCGATAACAATCATCATAAAGAATGTAGAGGAAGAAACAAGTTAATTTGAGATGGAACTTTGCTCCAGTAAACAAGAGGAACTTTGCGCTAGTTACCAACAGGAATTTTATAAAATAGATGAAGTGAGAACAACCACTGATATGATAGGTTCCAAATTAAGAATAACGATGATAAAATCCAAGAATCCACGGATAAAATATCCTGATGGTTGTTCTTTCTTATTATCATGCTCTTGAGGAAACAAGCGTTTCCGTGTCTTACAATATTCAGGAACGAAAATATCCGAAATAGTGTAGACAGCAACAAGTGTAATATGAGGGAGGGAATTTTTCTTCCTGCAGAAAATAGAAGAACTTTTCCTGAATAATATAACCTAACTCGGCCTAAATAGAACTTCTTCTTATAAAGTATATGTTTACAAGAGTCTTAGAGTGAAAGAATATGCGCCCAAAGGTGCCTGAGCAAAGGTCAGAGGGGTACCAACATTTATATCTGATCAGACAAGCCGCACTGAAAGCACTCAAATCATTTGTTTTTACCTCATAGATCACATGGGACTGCTTTGAGACACTCGTGCAACTGGGAATGGGCAACAAAGTTACACTTATGTGGGTTCCAGAGCATCGAAGGAATCAAAGGGAATGAGTCTGCATTTTTTTGGTCCTAAACCTTTCTGGGGGACAAGCAAATGTCACCTAATGACATAATTCAGGAACTGGGAAGGAATTGAAAAGTCCTCCAACTAGCGAGCAACTCCAGGTCAACGACAAGCGGAAAGGTTCATCAACCATTCGCAAAACCGAGCCAAAGAGCTACTCATTCTCAGCTAAAACTCATCACAGGCTTTCTCACCGAACACAGCCCTCTGAGGTACCACCTCAAGAATATGGGTCTAGCGGAGACTGACAGATACTTTGTTCGTATAATGTATTATTCCGCAAAAAACTGAATCGCCTAGAACATGTCCATCTGACGCTTGCTGAGGTAGAAAATCTATCTGCCAGAAAAATGTTGAGCTTCTCTAGAAGTCTAGGGTTAAAGGTAAAAGGACTAAAGCTAGATAAGCGTAATCACAAAATATCTAGGTCGCAATGACCGGGAGGTCTCCCAATCTATACGACTCACCCACAATCTACAAATGCCCCCACAGTAGTTTTTCATCGATCACTTCGAAGATAAAAAATTGGTGGAGTAGGATTCGAACCCGGAACCTTTGGCCCATTGGATCGTACGTTGTTCTACTGACTATTGTATTTCTGGCTGAATCAAGTACAATAATTAACGGTTGTTTCGGGTGCTGGTTCTGTTCGGGTATTTTCGTTCCAGAACATTGTAAGACTGGTAGCCTCTTTACTCCATAAAGCAAATCTCATCCGAATTGTTCTTCAGGAGACGAATCTGACTCGATGGGCAACCCTCGCACTGGCAAATCCCTTACGACGCCCCCGGCCAAGGAGAAGAAGAAGCCCTTCTTCAAAAAGCAGGAGGCCACGGCGCCCTACGACGTGGTTCCCTCCATGCGGCCGGTGGTGCTCGTCGGGCCCTCTCTCAAGGGCTACGAGGTCACCGACATGATGCAGAAGGCCTTGTTCGATTTCCTCAAGCACAGGTTCGAGGGCAGGTGAGGAAAAGTGTTCGTATGCATCATGATGAAAATAGACTGGTGTAACCACTTGTGAATTGTTTCTTTCCAAAACGTGTAGACCGCGAAACACCGTAGCAAGGCCGCACCGGATTGACTGTAGATGGCGTAGGAAACATCGTGCCACATATACTTCACAGATATAATGAAAATTGCACGTCTTTTTCATTAAATCAATCACTTTTTCTCAATGTTTTCAAATTACGAATTAATATACGTAAATGTAAACAACAAAACAAAAAAACCATTGTGTAGCAAGATCACTTCGGGAACAGCGCCATCTAGCGTTAGTTTTGCGTGGCCTCACTACGGTGATAGAATTCGACATAATCGAGTAGGCCAGAGGTCTACAAAAATTTCTAGGGTTTTGTAAGAGGAAGCTATTTCACCATACATATATCCACCTTTGTATGCATTTAATGCAGTCATAATGGTCTCGATATCATTTGTTTCTTCTATTTGCCATAGAATAATTTCTGGAGAGAACATTTCAATGTTATTTTTTGTAGGACACACTGAAATTACGCTGTCACTCAAAGGTTCACTAACCTTCTGCTTTCATATGGCTTGTTAGCTGAGGTAGCTTTTATCGATTTCTCTTTCAGGCACATCGCTCCATATTAGTGAAATCATATGAATGCCGCCAAAGTTTTTAAAACCAAAAACACTATTTGAAAACATTACCATCTCATGGAACCTTCAATCGTAACGTCTGAAGTCATACTCTAGTTGCCAGGCGTTCTTTCTCAACAAAATATCGAATAAACTTTTCTGAATCTCCAAATCGAACTTACTTTGCGAACTCTGGTGGTGGACGGAGTATCGTTAGATACCATAGCCATCAATTCGGCGTTCCAAAAAGATAAATTTTGGCACCAACATTTTTCCTACTCCATATCAATGATGTGTTGGGAGTAACCATCTGCCCTATCCATAGCGTTCTATTCCAGAATTCCCAGTTATTCCCAGGAAACTACGTACTCACCTGAGGAGCCAACAACCTTGTTGAATTCAACGTCACCAAAACTCAAGCCTATATTTTCTCTAGACAGGCGGAGCTCAGTATGCCTGATATATCAATGTCTGGTATCACCAATTCCACAGAGTCCACCATATCTGTGCTCGATATTTCTATCAGAAATACTTTTTCATGGAACAATTCTGTCAGATCCATAGTCTAAGCTGCTTCACCAAAACTCTAATTTTCATTCCGTGTGAAGAGATACTTCACACTTTAGCAGCTTCTCATGATTCACAAAGCAAAGATACCGCAATACCTAAACATACGCTGATGCTCTTAGATTCCATTCAGAGACGAGCCATCGGCCTGGTGGGTGATGGATGCAATATATATAGTTCGACTCGCCAAAGATGACCGGGGACGAGAGGAAGAGGATGAAGACGTCCAGTACACTGAGGCTAGACTCGGCTAGAGTATCTAAACAACTCGGTTTTGCAGATTACGTCGCTATCATCAAGTCACGAACGATATGACTGACTGTATGTTTGAGCTGACACCACTCTTTCTAGCGAGCGCTTGGGATTCCGTTTTTAAATTGACAGTGAGTTGATGATCGCAACATTTATATTGTACTCTGGGCTTATATTCTGTTCGCCGGTCATCTTTCACAAGCCAGACTAATTCTTATTCTTTGAAGTCATTGGAACACTGCAGAAAAGTCGATGACTTTTCACTTTCATATAGATATACTTTCACGGGAAATGTTCTTCAGAACTCCATGTCATCTTTACATCTCTAACAATACCAGTTAGATGTACTCGACAAGCCCAGTCAGCACATCTTCTCGTCGCCAGCCTTGTAATATGTTGAACAACTCTTTACCAAAATTCGTTTGATATTAGAACGGCAAAGCTTTGGCATTCTTTGCAATAACTTGTAATCGCCGAAAGTTCTAGGTACGCATGATGATCTCCGAACATTATAGGAATTTCCTTTCGTGCGACCCAAAACAAAAAAATCGAATTGTCCTGGATTGGGAGGGTAATCGTAATCGTTATCTAAAATCTGGAAAGCATGCCAAGAGATGAAACAAATGACATATGTTTTTTTTGTTTCAGGATAATCATAACGAGGGTGATGGCGGATATATCTCTGGCGAAGCGCTCCCTGCTGAACAACCCCTCGAAGCGTGCCATCATGGAACGTTCCACCACCAGATCGACTTGTCTGTCAGAAGTGCAGGCGGAGATCGAACGCATTTTCGAACTGGCCACCACTCTGCAGCTGGTCGTGCTGGATTGTGATACTATTAATCATCCTTCGCAACTTGCCAAAACTTCCTTAGCTCCTTGTATTGTATATCTTAAAATTAGTAGTCCTAAGGTGAGCATCGGTAGTCATCACTACAGTTCCTCCACAACACACTACACAACAACAATAATAACAACGTTCACAGCAAATAATGAAATAAAAAAGATAACTATGACAATAACAAAAATTTTGGCGCCAAATGAAGTCTCGCAGTTGACTTCTGACTGATTGTATTGGACTCGTGAGGGGTGGATACACTGCGACCTAATAGATCTATGCAATGTCCGATTAGGTTGTTCTCCGTAGCTATAGCAATTTCTCTAGTCCTATATCCCTCGAAATTTCAGGATATGAGGTGGTTTCAGGTTGGGTAGCTCCTCCTCTTCTATTATGTGTGCTCCTAGGTTTCTTCCTCTTGGGTCTCCTTATGGTGACACATTCCCAAGTATGTGGATACTCTTCCGTACATAACTTGCATTCGTCTTCTTCTTCTCGGCCGAGCTACCAAAGATGTCCTCTCAACCGGCAGTGCCCTGTCAGGATTCCCGTTAGTATACGATATTTATTTTTACTCAAGCTGACAAATTCGTTCAATTTTTTGAGGTTATAACTTCCCAGTAGTATCTTAGTCTGTCTGCGACCTTGTAGATTCTCCCAGATAAGTGATCTCTGTTTGGTTCATCTTTTCTCATTTCTTTTGATACCGGCAGTGCCCTGTCAGGACTACCGTTAGTATACGAAATTTATTTTTACTCGAGCCGACAAATTCGTTAAATTTTTTGAGGTTATAAGTTCCCAGTAGTATCTTAGTCTGTCTGAGACCTTGTAGATTCTCCCAGATAAGTGATCTCTGTTTGGTTCATCTTTTCTCGTTTCTTTTGATACAGTACTGCTGCTGATCCCGCAGAAAGGTTCTGGCCCCACGAAGGTTGGCTGATCTCATTTCCTAGCGAGTTTGTCCGCTACTCATTGCCTTCTGTAGGAATGTAATTCTCCTAATTTCTGTTTGTATTTGTCTTCACGTCCATTCTCTATCGGCTTTCTGCGACGGCATCCATTTGTAACGTTCACTTTTAGCTATCGTACCGATTTTGATAAATTGATTCACTGATTCTGCGGAGACCTACTAAGATTCAAAGTTTATTGCCTATCGCACTCTTTAATCAACTTCTGGTCAACCTCCTCATATCGTGACCTTTGTTGAGGTTTAGATGATAATGGTACCTAGGTTACTTACTTGCCTAAACTTCGCTAGCCATAATTTGATTCCTAGTACTCGGGTCTGTTTGTTTCCATACCTAAGACTATCTCATTTGAATTAGAGATCATCAAACGCTATATTTAGTATGTCGAAATCAGAGAACTCACAGTAAAGTGTACAGATCGTGTAAATATTGTACATAGTTTCATTCCGAACAAATCGACTAGCGGAATCAGTTATGAAATAATTTCAATCAAATTGATGGTTTGTTTTGGTCTAGGTGACTAGGTTAGATCATTATGTTGATCAGCTGATCGGTGGTTAGAGATGTGAATATTTCACTCGATAGTGCTGAACAGGACCACAGTATCGTGAATTGTATGTGGCTGCGGCGGGCACACTGCCTCGATACAGGACGTTCGCTTGGTGAGAATGGTGGACCTTGGTACCCATATAGTGCACGTTTGGAGTAGCTGAGTGGTTGATGACGTCATGGGTTGGATAATTGACTTCCTGCTGTTACAGGTTTATTACGAGCTGTGATGCATCTCCAAATATTCAATTTATTGTTATCATGCCCAGACTGATGTTGTCATAATAAGGTCTATAGAACTCAGGTAGTGCTTAGACACCAAGGTTTGTCATGTTCTGTACGTTTTGTCCTTGTTCGGGTCTGACAGGTGTTTCTATGCTTCTGTGGATCCAGGGAGATCAATGAAAGCTGTCACTTTGTACTTCGAAGTCTTTGGCAATGAGTAGTGAAATATGGCTGTAAGCCAATAATATTGAATTTAAATTCATCCTCTGAATGAGGGATTAGGTTTCACTCTCAAATACCAGTTTCCATGTAGGAAAATTTTTAGGTATCGTTTGAGGTATATATTTTCGGAAACTGTCCATTTTTATGGGATTATAGAGCCATTGACAAAAAGTGAGGTTGGAAACACATGTACAGAAAACCCTTTTTCAAGGGAAAAAGGTAAATTGAGTCGATAGCTGAATTAATTGATCAGTGAACTGATGGCTAAAATACTTTTCAGACCAGTATTAGTCAAGTTTTGAGTGAAATCCATCTTTTGGAATGTTGATGTCTGATGGCCCCCTTTCAGGACTCCCAGGCGGGATCATACTGTAATTATTTGTATATACTGCTGAGTTTTGAGTGATACTGCGTCCTTGAAAAAGGTATGGACTTCCAGAAGTCTGGAACCAGTGAGTATAGGACTTTCTTATGTTTCAGGGTTGTTGTGACAGATTGTTGTGACAGATTGTTGTGACAGATTGTTGTGACAGATTGTTGTGACAGATTTTTGTGACAGATTCTTGTGTTCGATTTTTGAGCCAGCCTTTTGCCTGGATTTTGAGCACTCATAGTAATGGTATACAATTTGAGCTGCTTTTGATGTTAGTTCCGATAACTGGTATCCTGTCCTGTAACTGGTATCCTGTTCTGTAGCTGGTAGCTGAAGCTGTATAGTTGAGCCAGTCTTGTAGCCTGTGATTGGACCATGGATGTCACGCAAGTTTTTCATAATCTTGTTCTGAATTATCATGTCTCATTTGGGTTGACATATTGTTCATGATTATTATCTTATGAATTTTTTTTTATGATATACACCTGTTAACGTAACAGGCACGGTTGCAACCTTGCGTTTTACGGATTTAGGTATATGAACTGGGTAGGTTATATGATATGTGCATTACTTATAAAATATAGCATAGGTATTGCTATGAATTCATGAACATTTATTTTCTGGGTGGGTTTTTATGTGGATTTTAAGGGTATGGGATAAAACTGGGATTTAATTATTATGTAACACTTGGGTGATATACAATCAGGTTTTGATTTGAACATTTAAAGTATTCAGTATTGAGGAACATAGTTGCTAGTAATATTCAGAAGCACTTCAATCTTGAATCAGTATTATTGTGTCAGGTGTTTCAAGAATATAATTATTAAATGGTATAGAGTATTGGGAAAATGTTTGTCTTTTAATTTGATAACGATAGCTGTTGAAATAAGATATTAACCATGGTAAGTGGGGTTAATATTGAATCATGGTGAGGGTATGCAGTCCACATTTACCTGGCGCCCTTATTAACATCTATTATTTTGAGTAGATCTGAACCCACTCCGTCTCCACTGCAGTTCAGTCGCGAGCCCATATCCTCTGTCAGCAAAGGACAGATATATTTGTCAATCTCGAAATAAGATTGTTACAAATTTTGGCGCCCAACGTGGGGCCTTAAATAAAAAAGGAATTTTTGATTTTCAAAAAAAAAAAAAATTTTTTTTTTGAAAAAAAAAAATTTTTTTGAATTTTTTTTATTTTTTTTTTGTTGACGTCTAGTATCTCTGACTTCCTTTTTAGTGAGTTCAGTTGTTTTTTTTTGAAGTGCTATATTCCTTAGTGGTAATCTGCTAATACTTTGAATGTTCAAATATTATTTCATTTACAGGTACAGATTATCGGATCTATGATTGTAGTATATTTTTAGTAGATTTTTCGCAGCTATTTGAGAAAAATTTTTATGCTCGCTGTCCTGGCTATACAGGGTAGAATTTTTTTTGGTATAAATTGTTGCTGAAGTTTGAGAAAATGGAGGGTAAAATGGAGATAAATAGACTCGACAAAGAGGAGTTGACTTATGAGTTGGCAATTAGGGGTGTAACTGATAAAACCACTGTTGAGGAAATGAGGAAGTGCCTACGAGGCTATATAAGATTGGAAAATTCATCAACTCCCCCTGTTTATCCCACAAATGTTTTCACTTTTGATGCTGATATTTTGTATTTAACTGACAAGCTTGCAGAATTACAGGGATTAGTTTCTGACTTTGCGGATTTTGAATCAAGTCCAAATTTTTTGAAAGTCAAGTCTAAGATTATTCATGCTTTTAGACGAGCCGAGAGAGCTGTTGTTGCTAAGGATGAGGATCATGGAGTGAAATCTAAATTTCTAGTAGAATTCTTGAATTTGCAGTCTGAACTTAAATCACGTGCTAGAAAATTCAAAAGATCATCTCAGCAAATTTCAACTCCTTTAGAACTTAGTGTTCTCATGTCATCGACAGGGATTAGCAGCTCATCAGAGAGTGAAGAATCTGATGATGACGTAGTAGGAAATGTACCGTCAGTACCAGTGTCTGTTCCCCATACACAGGGTGTCCCAGTATCAAAGTGGAACATTACTAAATTTGATGGAGATAATAGTAAAATTTCGTTAAGTGCTTTTCTGGAGAATGTTGAGGAATTATGTTTGTCCCGTAATGTAAGTGAAGACCAATTGTATAGATCTGCAAGTGATCTATTTTCAGGAAAAGCGTTGTTGTGGTTTAGGTCCATCAGAAATCAGGTTCATTCTTGGCCACAGTTAGTTGTCGAACTTAGAGCAGAATTTCAGCCGCCTAATTTCAATGATAAATTGTTCAATGAAATCAAGCATAGAACACAAGGTCCTCAAGAGACTATGGGCATGTACATAGCCCTTATGATAAATATGTTCAATCGTTTGACAATACCGATCAGTGAAAGTATGCGGTTGAAGATTTTGTTACAGAACATTTCTCCATTTTATCAAAGTCAACTTGGCTTAATTAAGGTTGATTCAATTCAACATTTGATAGAGTTAGGTCGTCAACTAGAGGCCCGTAAGCAGGCCATAGAATCCTTTGTTCCTCCTCCTAGAAACAAAAGCAATCTCATGGAGCCTGATTTAGCTTATATTTATACAGATAATTCGGACACATCTTTTGGAAATTTTGTAAATAACCCTTCCACCTCCTCCGCTCAAGTAGATATGGTGGGTACTTGTTGGAATTGTAAATCTGTAGGTCATATGGCCCGGGATTGTAAGGCTTCAGTGAAGAG